AGAAACATCACCGCAGAGCTACTTCCCTCACCTTTACCAGGGAGAAATGCTCTGGAAGCCAGAAGCTTTTGAGGCAGAAGCATCTTCCTAAAATCTTCAAGCATCAGAAGGACAAACCTGGGATGTTTCTTGCAGCTGGTGAGAGGCAGGTTGAGCCTATCACCTGGGCAGCGGAGATATCTTCAAGGCACTTAGGTTTTCTACTGATTTGGGCAGAATGAACCTGAGAACACAATTCTACCAGTCCTCAGCCAAAAACATGTGGATATTTCCAGCTTCAATGCCAAGCACTGCAGTATTGGAGGGAGATGAAAAGAGCCTGGAGGCATAGCTGCTTCCTTTAAGTCAGGTCATTTACTGTTTTACATGTGTTGTCCTTGTTCTTCCCTTCTGGGTCAATGAGAAGTGACTCAGATAGGAAAGTATCTCTTGTTCAGTGGATTAAGTCTTGAAGGAATGTAGGGGATAATTAAAAACAGGTGACAGCTAAACTGAGCAAGTCATTTACGTTCCTGCATCATTAACAATGCCTTGGAAAGCTGGATGGAGCAAATAATCTCAAAACAAGTGATTACTGCCTCAGTCAGTCAAGATTGATTGGAAGGAAAAAGATACCGGCTTGAAAGCAAAAAGAAAAAAAGGAAACTAGAAAAATTTGATAGGGAAGGAAGGAAGACAAATTTCCACTAGTCACAAAAGCATGATCAATCCTTTCTATGCACATTATGAGCAGAAAGGGAGAACACACTTTAGTAGTTATTAACTCCCAGAAGATTCCTCCATAGGACTACTGTATTCCTATGCTGGCCACTGGCCAGACAAGTGATAAATGTGAATGTCCCAGCCAGAAAGAGTTAAGTGCTACATAGAGGTTAATCTGAATAATAACCTACAGATAAGAGGTAGCTGCAGTGAATTCAAAGGGGGAAAAAAAAAAAAAAAAAAAAGAGGTTGGGGAAAATAAAAAAGACGGGCGAATCATTACATAGAGGAAACAGGACTCCTTATAAAAATAAATCATCTTATGCCCTACCTTTCTGTCCTGGTGAATACACAAAGTGTCACTAATTCTCAGGCACTGCATACCACACATGATTGGGACAGAGGGGAGAGCTATAGTGAAGTCAGGTGGGAATAGAGGAAGAGCAGCAGAGTTAAAGAAACCCTTTGTACTTGTGACCTGGTCTGAGCTGTCTGCCCCCAGGTCCTGCACCAACCAGCATCCGTCATGTCCCAGTCCAGTACCAAGGTGGAAACCAGCGTGGAGAGAGCTGCCAATCTTTCTGTACCCATACAGGGATGGGAGAGTCACGAGTCTCTGCCTAGCAGGATGCTTTGAGTTTATGGATTGTCAGATTAAGGGGGACACATGCCCTTTCCCCAAGGGCACCTTCCAACAATGGAGTTCCAGGAATCACCCAACCTTTACTTGCTTGAGAGAGGGCTGAAGTGTCTTGCAAAGCTGTGCCAATATAATGGTTTTAAAGCCAGGCAGAGACATGTTGGATCTTGGCCATACATTGTAGGGAATTGTAGTAAAATCAATTAGTAGGAATAAGGCTGCTGTGACTAATGAGCTAATGAATGATGCCTGAGTGGAAACGGCTCTAAGAGAGCTGCAGGGTTGGATTCCTGATGCATTATTCATAGGGATAGGCCAGATTCCTGCTTGGCACTGTTTATTTTTCACTTTGCTTTCCCAGGTTTCTCTTTAACTTTTAAAGACGCTCCTCGTCAATGAAGGAAATGGAGGAAGGCAAAGATATCTGTTTATTTTCTCTGTTTTAGGAGCAAAGTAGCTCTCATCTCTGGAGAATTGTGGTTTCTATGAAAGATAAATGGGGGGACACGATGTGTCAGAGGTGAAGTTCTTGGTTATTTAATCCCTGACACTCTGCACACCAGCACGTTTACTGATTAGTCTAACCCATCCTTTCTGCTGGCTTCCTTAAGTGTCTTTCATCACTGACACTATTTTGAAGCTACCAGGAGAAAACCGGGAATTGTTTGAAAAAAAGCCTTTCTAACACAGAGCTTATATTGTAGTTATGATCAGCCCTACAACGTGCACTAGCTTAATATCTACAATGGGGAAACAGGTTAATTTTCCAAGGTCAGCTAGCAAATCATTGACAGAACTTAGAACAAGCCTCTAAGGACGTGGCTTTCAGGCCAGCACTTGCTCCTGTTGCTTCTAGTAACTCATGCACCTTCTATCAAGGTTGCACAAAAATTGAAGAGCACTGATGAAAAAGGAGCTTTAACTAGTTGTTAAACTATGTGGCTCTGTTTCTGGCTCCATTTCTGGAGTTGCTACTACCTTGCTCCACGATCCTAACTCACCTCTCTGCATCTCAGCTTCCTCATATCTGATTTTGAGATAATAAAATTTACGCATTTTACAGGAGTGTTTTGGGGTTTAACCTACTTGAAGGTGTGCAGCAAAAGATTAGCAGGAGTGCATGACACTGCCATGTCAGCAGCCTCCCAGATCTGCCTTTGAATCCAATCATAGCTTTTGCTTAGATACCTGTCTGCACTGGAGAGCTGTGGGAATTCTGGGAGATATGTAAAGATCTGAGTAGCATCAAGAAAATGGAGAGTTTAAAATGATTGAGTCAGGAAAGCTCTCAGTTGAAACCAGTGCCCGCACTTCTCTAAGCGCATACAGAGCCCATGGTCCATGAAACTCTTGCACTGGAGGTGGATGGGAATATCTTAGGACTTCCCAGTGAGACCTCCTCAGCCTGGTATTTAGGCAGTGTGAGCCAGCCTGTTGGGAGTTTATGGGATTTGGAGACTATTTCCAGCATGGATGCAACTCTTGCAGGACTGCTCGCATCAGGTGAAGATAATTCCACCTAGAGACTGTCTCAGCTGGCCAGGTAGGACAGGAAAAAGGTTTGGCAGAGGTTTCTCAGCCTGGAAGTAAACATTTGGCTCTGAACTTTTCCTTTCATTTATGATAACAAACTCCTCTGAAATGCAGAGAGTTCTAGTACTAATTTGCCTTTGAACACATACACTAGGAAATGTCTTTATTTTTTCAAATCCATGTTGTGGGTTGTTGAGGCAGATTTATACAGCTTGTGTCTTTTTATTTTTTTTCTCTGTAGTTAATGGAAAACTCCCAACACAATAGGCTGTGATTACCCATAAAAGAATAGAAGGAGTTCAACAGAATGCTGTTTAGATGTTCCTATTAATTCTTGTTATTTCTTTGGTGACTTGCCAACACTGCAAGGCAATTGCATATAGTGTGCATAAAAGAGAAAGCATTTCAGGCAATGCTTAAAGACTCAGATAAGATCGACTGAAACTATAAACAAGTAAGGTATGTTGTCACCTCCTCCACCCCCCCCTCCCCACCCCCAACAACCCTCCAAACTAAAGGAGGGCACAGGATTTAAGCAGAGTGTTGGCATATGTTCTTCCATCCAAAACCTTATAATGTAATGATGATCACGTTTCAGATGTGCATGTGAAACCAGTCATCTAGCACGCATTGTTTGGGGCCACTTAATAACAGAAACTAGAAACCACGCCCCTTTCTATGTTTAATTTTTTTTTTTTTTTTTTTCCTAAGAACAAAGCAAACACGATTGGCATATTTCCCTTTTCTTAATAGAATTATAAAATACTCTGCTGAACATGAGGAATGCTGAACCAAGAATATGCCTTTCCCTAGATATGCCTTTCCCTAGGTAATTTTGGGCTGGAAATACCTGCTAAACTTTCATAATCAACATAATGACTGCATTATGGAGGCAAATATGAAAACAGTGGGTCTGAATTCCAGAGGGTGTAGATCACCCAGAAATGTTGTTGATAAATGAGGCAAGATTTGCTGAAATGATGACATGATGGTCACTGGGGCTTTAGGTTTGGGGAGACGATGGTTGGGTTGTTTATCTGGGAATAACAGACCTTTCAACATTTCAAGAATTTGAGTGATACTAGCCCTGAGTAAAGTTCCTTCGATAGTGCGATAGATAACAAAGATGATGGGAATATCCCTGAGAACATCTTTGTTTCAGGTTTCCCTCCTTTCATCCTTTATTGATAGTATGTGTTGAGTGGGCACTGGCATAACTACAGCAAGGCTTTTCAGTTTTTGCAATTCCACAATCAAACTTGCCCATCGCACATTGTCGGAGGGTTTACTAGCACGGGGCTGGCCTGAGCACAGGAAAAACAGGCAGATGCCTGGGGCAACAGGGATTGGGGATGAGAAAGCCAAGGTGTTTGGCAAGCAAAGGAGGTGTGGGCTTTCCACCAAGGAAGGGGTTGGCTCAGAGCAGAGGGGATTCTCCATGCACCATCCTCCCTGAACAGCTCCGGATAGCAAGTCTGAGAAACTCCCTTGGGCCAAAATTTCATGGCCCGGTCCTGTTGTCTTCCCAGTTCTCCTATCACCTCTGTCCACAGAGGACAGGGAAAGGAGGGAGGGAGATAGCGTGCTCCCACCCACAGCCCCCTGAAACCCTGCTCACTGCTTGGGGAGAGGTATTACAGCACCACAACCCCAACCATGATGTTTCCAGTGAGTAAGGGATTGCAAGTCAGCTTTCCACTTCTCCTCCTGGTGATGAACTCTGGCCCCTGCTGAGGGTGAAAACACAGAGGAGAAAAGTACATGAGGTTCAGCGTCTTGCTGTTCACAGCTACAGATGCTTTTTTTTTCTCCCAGGATTTGTGGAAACCACTCGGGTCTCTCTAACCACCACCAAAAAAAAAAAAGAAATATTACCAAGCTGCAAGGCAAGGCATAGACACTGTTTTTTTTTTAATACCCCTGGGTTTACACATCATGCCTAGACACAAAGCGCCTGGCTTGAACAATAGCTCAGCTATTGTCCGCCATGCAAACCCTCATTTTCTTCTCCAAGGAACATGAAAAGACATGACAGTATGGCAGGAGGTGGGGCCTGCTTTGTAGCTCATTCAACTCATTTATAGCTCAATCAGACTCGTTTTTCCAGTAGAATTGGATCCGGGGTCAGAATTGGTACATGGCAAGCCACCAGCAGGAGTGCCATTAAAGCCAGCGGTGAAGAGCGGTGGCAGCCCAGAGACCAGGCGACGAGGGTCCGTGCAAGATGAAGGTGTTTCTGTCTCTTCTGTTGGTTGCTGTTGCTTGCATAGGGTTTGGTAAGTTCCTGCTCTGATTTATCCAAACTCCTGCAGGAGATGCAGCATGACAGGGTGGGAGGAAGTCCCTGCCTCTCACTTTGAGCAGTTTGCATCAAAAACTTTGCCTTCAAAAAATTTCCAGCCTGTCGGATGTTCAGGACCACCATCGTCTCATTGGGATGGTTAATTCAAGCTCTTTAGGAAGTGCTACAAGGCAGAGCGTGATTTTACTGCATCATTTCTTTAATGCAAAATCCAGCTCTCACTTTTTACTTGTTCTTGCCTAATCTCACTCTCATCTTTTTTTTTTTTTTTTTAAACTTTCTGTTCCTCTTTTGATACTTAACCCCGAAGCCAGCTAGACAGTTTAATGCAGTGTGTGTAGCGGCTCTCTCTAATTATATGTTGCATGTGTGGTTTATTAAACTTCAGCCATTAGGAGTGGGAAAAGTGGGATGGGACACAAAGCTGGTGGCCCAGGTACCACAGGGCAGAAATTTCCAGCTCTACTTAGTAAGCCACTGTGGTTTGCCTGAAGTCAAAGACAATCTTGGCAGACCACCTTGGAAAAGGAACAAGTGTGAAGTGTTTTGGGGATTTTCCCCACTTGCAGGAGGATTTGAGAGTTTGTCACACCAGGGAGTGACCCCCCCACCATCCTCCCTCCCTCCTTTCTGTCCCTGTTAGGCTATCTGGCACCTCACTGGAGGGGGTAGGCTTGAAGCACACAGTCAAAGTGGGTAGACAACAGCAGCCTGATATTGGGGGTGACCCCGCTGGGATTTGGAGGTAGGGACCAAGCCTCATGAGTCCAGTCTGTAAAGGGATACCCCTCCTCTTCCATCAGTGGGATTCAGTCGCTTCTCTTCCACCGCCAACTCCACGAAGACAAACACAGAGAGCTGTTTGGGATACGAGTGTTTTCATTCCCTAGGAAGTACGGAATCCCTTCATCACAGACAGTCCTACATGAGTGGTGATGCCATAACACGTAATGATGGAAGGTGACCGTGCAGTGGAAAGGACACCGTGGCATAGACTCCTCATCCCTGGATGCTGCCACCAGAATAACTTCTTGCACAAAAAAAATATTTTGTACTGACGATCCCAAGCTCAGATTCTGTGTTAGCCTGGGTGGCCAAATAAGTCCAATGCAGGGTAATTACAGGAGCTGTCATTGTTTACTGGGATGTTTGCATGCTCTGCACTACTCCTCCAGATCTAGGCAGTGCAGGGTCTAATTTTATCTGTGCCTGACTGGGATGTGGAGCTATTTTAGGACTTTTATTTCATTGTATTTATTTCCTCCTTGTGTAAGGATGTTTTCCTTCCTCCATCTTTGGGTCTGCACAGTGGGTTCAGCAAGAGAGGGAGAAGTGGTTGGAGAAAGAAGAGGTGTTTGGAGGATTTCTGGGGAGAACACAGCTGCTGTTTGGAGAGACAGACCCAGAGGTGGAACAGTGGCCCTCTCCTTTGTGTAGTGCACTGACTGCCTTGTTATCTAGGACGTGTCCTGGCTCTGGTTACTAGTAGTTCAAAGCCTTGGGGTGCTTGTGCTGTGCCAAGATCAATGGGACCTTCAAGTGCTTACCACAGCTGCTACAGTAGACATCAATCATCACTGGCCTCCAGAGCAGGAGATATTTCCTTTCGTCATTAAACCTCTTCATTCTGGCTATTTGTGACTGCTTGTTGATCGAGAGACAGCAGTTCAGAGAGGAACATCATTAGTTAATAGAGGACAGCTTGGAGATAAGGGGACTCTATGATTAGATCTCCTTAAGGGATAGACAGGAATCTGAAAGGCAGAGTCTAGCAGGAAATCAATGAGGTGGGATATAAATTTGGTCTAGGATTGACTCATCAACCTAATTTTTCCATCCTGCTTAGTAAGACTTTGTCAAGAGTCAGGTATCTGGGGAGCAGAAGTCCCTGCTGTGACCTGGTGCTGCCACATTTCTTCTTTCTTGTCCTCCCCCACTTCCCTGTCCCATTCAGGTGGGCAGAGTCAGGATGGATGCTCTGATTTGACAGACAAATGTTGGCAAATTTCTTCTGCACACTCTCTGCAGAACTGGGCTAAAACCATGATGCATTTGCAGTTCCTCTAATTTTTCTATTGGGCATGAGTGCAATTTGCATAATTTTGGCATTTCCTGGAAAGACAGTCAGAGTTGAAGAATGGCAGATCTGCCAATATCCAAGTGAAGCTAGTAAAATCTCTTCTAAGAAATTCCAAGATTTTCTGCTTTTTTATCTCCTATTTTACTTTCAGCACTCTAGAAAGAATGTGCTATAACTGTATTGAAATATTTTAGCATTTTTTATTTACCTCTCCTTTTAAGTAAGACTTCTAATATGTCTCTATTCCATTTCATAATGTAATTTCATTTTTTAGCTATGGGATGTCTGCTTGTCTATGTTTAAGGTCATAGGCTCTTAAAGCAAAAAGGAATTACTACAGTTTTATTATCTTCACAAATATCTACCCTTCCCAAATAGGCCAGATGTTAGATATTCTAAATCTTGCTTAAAACAGGGTTTTTAGACCACAGGTCTTTAAATCTCCAAGTCATGGTGTTTCCTCCCTGCTCTGTGAGATGCCAGCTGACTACTGCTGCTGAAGAGCTGCCTCATTTGTAAAAGTAAAGTTGTTTTGTTCCAGCTTTTCATTATTTTACTGTGTTAAACACTTCCTGATCCATTCTCTTTCCCATCTCAAAAAAAAAAAAATACTAGTATCTATAGCTAATATTTAACATATTTAGCCATGATTGAACCTCTTAGTCTGAGTGAAGATAATGAAAATACTGAGTTTGCACATGTTGGGGACAACTCTCTCTTAATTTGATGCCCCTTTGTACTTATCTTTTGTTCCCGTTTTTTTGTTTGTTTGTTTTTTTGTTTTGTTTGTTTTGTTTTGTTTTATTTTTTTCAAAGAGGAACACAAATGATGTGTCTTTGACTTGCCTAGTGGCAAATATAATGAAATCTGAGAATAATGACAGAACTTCCTCCCTAAAGACGTATTTGACAGCTGTCAGACATAGAATGAATGCAAACAAAGCATCAATTCACAATGGGCAAAGCAAAATAATAAAGTTTGCTTTGAATAAAGGCAAGATAATTGCTGTGACTGTTTATAAAAGGGCTCTTCCTGGCTTACTAGTTAGAGGGAGGTTGCATTACCTATTTTCATTAAGGTGGCTTTCTTGCCTGAGCCTCCTGTCATGACACTCCATTTTAGGCCTGCTGAGATGAACTGAACTGGTTTTCTTTTTTAATGGGGATTAAAGGGATTTCGTCAGGGCTGTCACACAGATGAGGTGAGACCTGCTTTCCAGACCAAGGAGGGGGCGGTGGTCTGTGATGGTACCAAAATGAATTGCTACGCCAGTAAGGCACACACATTCAGGTGCCTGCCAAAGGGTGGAAAAGAGGACTTAGATCAAGTGTTGGGTTCCTCAGAAAGATCTGCAGAGAACAAAATGCCCTGAAAACCTTGTCCAGAAATGGCTTCCTTGGGATAGGAAATACCAGATGCTATTCCGGCTTGATATCTTTAGCTTGGAGTGCTCTAGAAATACTACATCACAACAATCTGGGCTCTTCAGTGTCTCTCTTTAAAATCTCCCCATCTCAAAAGACTTTAGGCACTGAAAGACTTGAGTTGTGGTTATTCTGCATGTCTAGGAGCCAACTGGCACATGTGGGCTTGCAAGGGCCTTTGCAACTCAACAGGGAGGTGATGAAGAGCATCTACAAACTGGTGTGTGAAGAGGCAGAGTGAGCTACCTTGGACTGGATTTGGAGACCTGGGTACCAAATTCTGTTTCTATGTTTTCTGTCTAGAGCAGTTCATATCCCCATGCATTCTATCATTGTGGTCACTGTCATATTTTTAAAATAACTTCTTACACTTCCTTCTCTCAAAACCAGAATCTCGGCACGGGGTTGTGCTTGATTTGTTTTCATGGCTCAGTAAATTTGATGGAGACGGTTCCTTCTTTCTGGGATGCTCTCCTATCTGAGGGGTCCCAGTCTTTGGAAAGAGCTGTCAGAGTGGATGGCACCAGGTGAAATTTTCCCTGCTGAAACTCACATTCAAGTTTGACTTTTATGTGTGTCCAGATTCTTCACCAAAGGGAAGTCATGTTTGACCAACTTGATAAACTTCTGTGATGAAGTGACTGGCCTGGTAGGATACTAGAAGATCCTCATAGACAAGCTGTTGAGGTATGGTCTGGATGAGCAGAAAGTGAAGTGGATTGAAAACTGACTGAATGACCAGGCTCAGTGGGTGTTGATCAGTGACACGGTGTCTACTTGGAGGCCAGTAACATGAGGTGTACCCCAGAGGTCAATACTGGGTCCAGTCCTGTTTAACATCATCATTAACGATCTCCATGATGGGGCAGAGCTCACATTCAGCAAATTTGAAAATGACACAAAACTGGGAGGAGTGACTGATACACCAGAGGGTCATGCTGCCACCCAGATGGACCTTGACAGGTTGGAGAAATAGGCTGACAGGAGCCTGATGATATTCAACAAAGAGAAGTGCAAAGTCCTGCCCCTAAGGAAAAAAAAAACCCATGCACCAATATATGCCGGAGGCCATCCAACTGGAAAGCAGCTTGTCCAAAAATGAACTGGGGGTCTTGGTGGACACCAAGTTGAACGTGAGCCAGCAAAATTCCCTTGTGGCAAAGAAGGCTAACGGTATCCTGGGTTGCATTAGATGAAGTATTGCCTGCAGGTTGAGGGAGGTGATCATTCCCCTCTACTGAACACTGATGAGGCCACACATGGAGTTCTGTGTCCAGTTCTGGGCTCCCCGGTGTACGAAAGGCATGGACATACTGGACGAAGTCCAGTGAAGTGCCACAAGGATGAGTATCTCTCCTCTGAGGAAAAGCTGAGAGAGTTTTGACTCTTTAGTCTGGAAAAAGGAAGACTTAAGGGGGGGATCTTATTAATGTCTATCGATACCTGAAGGGAGGGCACAAAGAGGACAGAGCCAGGCTCTTTTTCAGTGGTTCCCAGTGCCAGGACCAGAAGCAATGGGCACAAACTGGAACACAGGAGGTTCCCTCCGAACATCAGGAAACACTTTATTACTAAAAGGATGACTGAGCACTGGCACAGGTTGCCCAAGGAGGTTGGGGAATATCTATTCTTGGTCATATTAAAACTTCATCTGGACAGAGTCCTGGGAAACTGCCTCTAGGTGGTCCTGCTTGAGCCTCCACCATCCTGTGATTCTATGAGTTTGTGAGTCTGTGACCTCTCTCTCATGATCTACTAGTGCAAAGTAAGAACAGAGTTGAGGTAAACCAGATACGTCTTTCCTGTATCATGGGGTCTTCTGTGTGTGCTTGACTTGTTACAAAGGGTCTGAAGGCACATCTGAGGCTGTGCTTTGACCATTAGATTAGTGTATTTCTGATTCCCATTGGTACAAATAACTTCTACTACTCCATTTCTGTTCTCAGTATGAGTATTTTGGAAAGATACGCTCCCCAGAAGTACCTGGAGGGTCACAGACAGAATCTGGTGGTCCACACTAAGGCCAACCTCATGTTTTTCCTCCTTACAGTGCAAGCCTTGCAATGTTACACTTGCCAAGATCCTACTGTTTTTGATAAGTGTATGACGATTCAGAACTGCACGAAGAATGAAACCATGTGCAAGACTACTATGTATTCCGTGGAGGATGGTAAGGGCAATTATTTCTTTATACATATTTTTAACATGAGTCAGCGTCTCTACAGTGAAGAGTGCTGGTGTGGGGAGCTGTTACCTTTTCTTACTTAAATATATAAACCTGGAAGACAGCTCCTGCAGATCAGAGAGAAGTTACCTGCTGTTGTGGAAAACAACCTTCACGGGAGTGAATACTTAGTGAATGCAAGCTCATGGTTAATGCTCAGTGTTGAGCACGGTTAGAAAAAAACATGTTGAACTGAGCTCGAGACATGGAGCTAAAGAGTTCTGGCTCTCTGAAACATTTACATGACTCAGACAATGGGTGTGGGTTAAACAGTGATCTCCTGACCTGGCAACTGTTTATGAAAGCTGGTTGGAGTAGAGGCCAGTAGAGATGAGCTAAGCTCAGTAAGGTGGGGACACCAACCTTTGGTTATCTGGAGGCAAAACAGAAATGCCCTTGAGTTCTCTGGAGATCTCAGGAAGGCATCATCAGTCTGACTGGTGACCCTACAGGTCATATAACCTGTCCAAATAAAGAAATGCATTTCAGAGATATAGTCCTGCTGATAAGGCTCTGGTTGCACATGGGAGAGGCAGGAGATAGTGAGTAGAGTCAAAGCAGAGGCAGAAAAAGTGCCTAATTGACCTTTTGCAGGGTAAATCTGATCCAGGCAGGACACATAGGATGCAAGGTGCTGTTCAGCTTGTGGTCATTCAGTGGGAACTGTTTCCTATATTCCTGGTAGGAAGGAGACCAATTGTGTTTGAACTGGAGCTGAGACTTGTTGAAGGCAGCTAATGTTTCACTAGGGACAAGGAGAGCTCTCCTTCATTCCTCTCATTCCCAACTGTTCCTTCTTTCTTTCTTTGTTGTAGTTTATCCCTTTGTGGGAGTCTCGACCGTCACCAAGATGTGCTCTTCTGTCTGCATCCCATCCGACGTGGACGGGATTGGCATGACGCGCCCCGTCTCCTGCTGTTACTCTGATTTGTGCAACACTGACGGTGCAGCTAGTTTGGGGGTCAGTTTTGTGCCAGTTGGGATGCTAGCAAGTTCCCTCTGTGCCTTTTTCTGGACTAGACTGTGAGGAGCTGATGGGGAGGTCGTTTGCGCTGAAGAACCCCATGAAGAAGACAATAAACCCCTGCCAGCCCAGCTTTCTGTTTGGATGCCTCATGGACAATCCTCAACAGCTCCCGGAAATTGCTTTTTTAGCACCAACCTTTTTTTCCACAACCAAGAGAGAAGCAAAACTCAGGAAGTCCTGACAAATTTTTGAATCAACTCTTCAACAGCTCCCACAAAACTATGGAGTTTCTTTGCTGTGCTGCTCTTGTTGGTTTTGAACTAAAAAATTCTGCTGTGTGAAGTATATTTAAAGAAAAAACCTTGCTCTGAGAGCCTTCCTGACCTCCTTAGAGCATTTTGCCCCCCAGGTGTTAGCCAGTAGGACAGTTGAATTAGCCAGTCTTCTCAGATGAAATCCAATTATGTGGCAGTTCCTCTCCAACCCACAGTTTTGAGCTGGCTCTTTGTTCTATCTAGATCTCCTTCTTTGTACACAAGAAATTAAGGAGACACTTCTGTGTCCAAAATATGAGACAGGAGACTAAACTTTCCATGCCAGTGATCTGATCCAAGGAGGCTAAAATATTTGTTTTCTGTACCCTTTTGAGCAGAATAAAAAGAATGTTGTGTTAAAACTGTAGTGATCACTAAAGTTATTTATATTGCACCTGTCCTTCTATAAATTTATTTTATTTTATTTTATTTTATTTTATTTTATTTTATTTTATTTTATTTTATTTTATTTTATTTTATTTTATTTTATTTTATTTTATTTTATTTTATTTTATTTTATTTTATTTTATTTTATTTTATTTTATTTTATTTTATTTTAAATTTATTTTATTTTATTTTATTTTATTTTATTTTATTTTATTTTATTTTATTTTATTTTATTTTATTTTATTTTATTTTATTTTATTTTATTTTATTTTATTTTATTTTATTTTAAATTTATTTTTTCCAAACTCCAGTTCCACTTTTCTATATTGTTTATACAGTGAGACAAGTTAGGTTTTGCAGTCAGTCTTGCACCAGATGTGTAAGATACTTCCCATTATCGCCCACTGGCAGTGGCCTTCCATCAACATTTCTTCTACCAACTCCACTGGTACAAAACTATCTTTACTGGAAGACTGGGTGATTTTTGTAACAGTTCTGGCCTGAATTTGGAATTCAGTGGAATGACTTTTCCTCTTGTTTCAATCCTCCAGAGCATCATCTGCAATTCTTTGTGTGCAGGGCTCCTACATTTTGATGTTATCCATCCTGGTCTGGTTCTGCATTTTCCTATAATCCCATTTTCAAGATTCATCAAAAATGTCCTCCGCCAATTATCACTCTGCTTGTGATATTTGAAATAATCAATACAGATGTGATTTAAAGTCTTCCATGTAGCATATGTATTAGAGCAGGTTTCCAAGAGAGGTGATACAATTTCCATCCTTGGAAGTTTTCATGACTCAGCTGGATGAAGTCCTGAGGAGCCTGGGCTGAACTCACAGTTGAGAGTTTTGATCAGGAACTTGGATTAGAAACCTCCTGAGGTCCCCTTCCAACCTGAGCTTCCTGCAATCCTATGATGCACCCACTAAGATCACCAGAGCAAAATCACCATTATTTCCAGGCATTCTGAAAAGTCCGGTAGATGTTTCTGCAATGATTTTCACCTGTTCTTCATTGCTTCCGATTGCCAAAATGAGATCAAATTTGGACCGAGCTGCAGTTCTGGATTCACACACAGCTCCCCCGTTGCTCAAATAGAATTCTTTTGCTGAAACAACGTTGTGTAAGGGCTCAGGGTGCTGCACCGGCCTAGAGGTGGCTGGATGGACCACATCCCTGGCTATGGAAGGACTTTGGAAACGAGCTGCAGTCTCGCAGTTTCTGGCAGGGTGTGCTTTGCAGTGTCCTCTGTCTGTGAGCCATGCCCAGAGCTCAGTCCCAAGGTGTTTGATACATTTCTGGCTTTCTGCTGCACATGGATGGTACATGGAGGTTCTCCCTTTATACTGACCAGTTCTAGCAGTCAGCAGTCTCAGTTTTTTCTGGTTCAGAAGCTTCATCAGGACCACTGTGCATGGTAACCACCAATACATCTTGATGCATGTTGATTTTAGTCACACTTCCAGCCTTCAGAGCACACTTTTAGGCTTAATGCCACCGTTTTGTTACAGGTAATTTGTTTCTCTTCCAAACCCACCATCTCACAGTTTCATTCAGACCCGTTGGTCTCATAGATGAGCAGTAATCAGACTGCTCCCTGTCTACCTTTTCCACACCATTTATGCTATATACTCCTATGTCCACCCTGGTAGCTCTTTGCCAAGCTGAAGATCCCTTGTCTAAATTCAGGTATCACTCATAAACTCATGAGTACACGAATCCATCTGTACTCCAGGTACACAGTGCCATAGAGAGAAGACCATTAAAAATCCCAAATGAACACCAAGGGGAAAGAAAGGTGTCACATAATCTTGCCAGTCCCAGGATGTGAAGTGAGCGCTTCACGTTCTTGCTGTGCTATTGTTAAGACTTAACAAAAGTGATTTGTCGTGCACTGGTAAAATGCAATGGTGACAAGCCCCTTCGTGGCCACTGGGTTCCATCGTGGCCACCTCTCTGCTTTTCAGTTGCATTACTGAATGATGTTTGTTACATCCAGAAGCCCAGGGCACTTTACCATAGCTGATAACTTTCTTCTACAATCTGAATAAACTGAAGTTTCCCTGAAAGCAAAGCTGGAGCCCAGATAGGTAGACAACCATTTCCTCATCTTTGTCCATAGGCACTCGTGACAAACCCTGTTTTAACTTCTTTCTCCAAACAAAGCTGAAGAGAGTCCCATTTATTTTGAATTATTGTAACTGAAAGGTTTATTAGGATGTAGTCAAAATACCTGGCTACTCACTCACTTGTTAGGGATAGAAAAAATATTAGACATTTCCCATTCACTGTCCAAAAGTGTATATACGTCAGCACTTCTGTACATGAAACCAATATTAATTACATACTTGCAAAACTCAGAAAGAAATACAGCTTCCACAAGTTTTCACTGCACAGCTCTGCTCTTTCTCAGACATGAGTTATTGGGCTCAGACTAACCTGTCCTTACCCTGTGTTGGTTGATAAGCAGTGCAGTCATGGCCCAGAACATCACAAAATTATCATGTCAAAGAGCATTTAAAAACAAATACATCAGGAGCTAGATTATTATGTTATCTTGTCATCTTAGAGGACAATGCTAAAAATACCACTGCAGTCATGGACATTTAGAGCATAAGTCATGGATGGAGATACTGAAAATGCTTAAATCCAAGCTATTGCTGGGCTTGGGAAGGTGAGCAGAGCATGTCTGGCTGGTGGAGCTAAAGTCATGTCACCAGAAACGTGCACAGAAGAAAAAACATTGGCTCCCAATTGCACAAGATGACAATATAGCTCTGTAGCCCAGTAAACATAATACTGGCATTGCTTGTAATAAGCCACACTCTCTTTATTGAGTTTGCAAGTCTTCAGGGCTGAGGCTTGTTGGATTTGCTTTAGCTGAGCTTGTCTTGACCTGCCTTCACCTTTGTTTTTACTTTGCTCAGGCGTAACAGCAGTTTTTCTAACTGGCCAGGTGGCTATGCCAAATTTGCTTTGTTTTTGTTTATCTTTGTATGGCGCAACTGTAAGTCTACATAGATGATCTTCACAAGTAGTTGCTGTATGTAGAATGAGGTATTTACGACTCCGATGTAAAGAAATACAGACCTGCTATGGCAGCAGAGGCCTCAAGAGATGGAGGTGCAGGATGTGGCACAGAGGAGTGCTGGCATGGGGTGCTAAGAGTTGGGACACCAACTCAGCATTAAGAGACCCCTCAGCTCTAAAAAACTCACCAACAGTCAAAGAAATGCAGACCTAGAGGTAGACAAAATCATCTTTAGGAATATCAAAAAGAACAGGGAGCAAATATCAAACCGATATGGAATGCACCATACATGGTAAAATCCTACATGAGGCGGACCTCCACCTTCTGACCAAGATAAAAAGAGCAAGGTACGGAAGTGTTTTAGCAAACATAATCAAAATGACTCCCAGTAGATCCTTGATTGAGGAAGAAGAATCTATTCCCACCATGGAGGACTCAGGATGCAGATGACCCACTGTACCTCCTTCTAAGGTGGGAGGCAGTAATATTAGTGGAAGAATGAGCATGGCACCATGAAAACGGATAAAAACTAGTCAGTATGCGTATAGCGATTTTAGCTGCATTGTTATTGAAACATTTTATGTAATAATAATAACAAATAATAATAACAATTAATAATAATAAATAATAATAACTATTATTATTATTTATTTTTTCTTTCTATGTCGGTAATAATTTGATCTTCACTAATCATAATTCTTTGATTCAACTGTTAAGATTTCATACATAGTAATGATAAATTCTTGGCTTTGCATATAAGACGTGTTTCCTGTTTTGCCGACAACAAGATTTTGAGTGTAACAAAAATACAGTGATTTCCAGCTGGGTATGGAGAGACGGCTAGGTATAGAGATGCTTAAGTAGGCTTTATTTCAAGGGCTGCTTATTTTCCTGTAGTGTATATCAATATCTCCATGGGAGACTGTCAGTCTATCTCCTCTGCATCTTTGTGGTAGGTGAGAAACTCACAGTCGAGGGGCATGTTATTTTGGGGAGCAGTGATTTTGAAAATGAGTGGATGTTGTGGGTAGACATCTGAAGAAAAGCTCCTAGAGAAACACCATAACCCTTTGGATTATTACAGTGAGTATTTTCAGTGGGACAGAGCGGCTGGAAATGGTCATTTCTTAGTGGTGGCTGTTCAAGGAGCTTGAATAAACAGTTCTGGTGGAGCTTTACACATTAAAAATGTCCAAGGGTTGGTGAGATGGGCCATATCTTCAGTGTCTTTTCATGCTTGCACCAAGCCTGACATCACAAGCCAGAACAAGGAGCATACACTGGGAAAGAAAGTAAACTGTGACTGCGCAGAGGTCCTTGGTGGGGATTTTTCCAGCTGTGCCAAAACCACAGAGGCAGGCATGTGGCAAACTGGGCACAAAAGGTGACCCCTGGGAGAAAATCAGAAAGTCCCAACACGCCGACTGTCCTCTGATTTCATTCGAGGTAAGTGGTGAGAATCCTTCACGTAGCTGCGTGCTTCAGCCCTCCCTTTTATGATGTGCTTGAACCAAGGAGATTTTCTGAGATTCCCCACCAGCTAAAGAGCATTAGACACAGCCGATTGCAGCCACTTCTCAGTGCTCATCCTCCGTGACTTTAACTTGTGCCTCTGTGTAGCTGTCATCGCTTTGACAAGCCACGTGCGGAAGAGGCTCATCTCCCCCTCCCTTCATTGGCCATGGATGCTTCACCTCTTTGATCTCTGCCCAGTTTGTCAGCATGTTTCCCACACTTCAGCTGTTATGGCAGGGATCACAGGTCCTGGATGAGATCTAGTCTGAAAAGCATAAAATCTGTACGGGTGAGGCACTGTGCTTCGTGGTCGCACCCCCAGACCAAACCAGATCTCTCAAGTCACGGGGCAATCAATGCTGTCTGGTTAAACATAAAGCTGAATCTCTCTTGCAAGCAGCAGGTAGCATGGCATGCTAAATTAGT